CTACCTACCTACGAGAAGAGATGTGCAGATTTCATGGCATTCACTCAAAGCAAGGTTAACTTTACCTTCTATGAGTGTTTAAGTGGCGAAAATGCACGTATTTGAAAAAGTGTGTGCTGGACACTTTCTCTGGGTGCTAAAACATAGGAGCAAAATGGTCCAAACTTGGAAGAAGAAAAAAGGCTGCTTTGGAAAATGGAAAGTCGAGAAAAAAAGGGAGATTAAAATGAAACAGAACTTGATTCTCTTGGCTCCTCTCTGCTCTCCTGGGCTGTATCTTAGAGAGCTTTCGCAAGGTCCTGCAGCCCCCCCTCCACGGCTGTCTCCGCCACTCCCTGAGGCTGGGGGCTCCTACTCTGGTGTCGGACCTAATCCAAGGAATCTGGGGGATGCACTGGTGGAGGTGGGACTCTTGTGGGCCTGGGAAACTCCTTGGCCTCGGTTGCCTCCTGCTGCATTCTGGCAGTTGGCCATGATGCAGATTTCCCAGCCCTTGGCCAGGGGAAGTGGGGGATGCTGGCTTGGGAAACCAGCAGCCGCTTCTTTGCGGTCCTGGTTCCAGGCCCTGTTAGGTGGTCTCAGAGTGGAGGGGGGGGACCAGGGGAGAACGTGGTTTGAAGGGGACCTCCCGGTTCCCGTGTTTGGACTTTTCATTCTGCCCTACTTTAGCCTGGACATCATGCTTTAGGTCAGCCCTGTTGGGATTCCTTGGGTTTTGCTAAGGGAGGCAGATGTCCTTCTTGAAGGAATGATGGAAGGACGTCGGCCTTGCGAGGTCATCCAGACCCAGAAGACGTCAACTCCCAGAATTCCCCAGCTAGCAGGTGCAGACTTCAAATTCTACAATTCCCCAGCTACCAGAGGCAGACTTCAACTCCCAGTATATTCCTAGCAGGTTGGACTCAAACTCCCAGAACTCCCCAGTTAGGCTGGACTTCAACACCCAGAATTCTCCAGCTGTCAGGGTGTGGATTTCAGCTCTCGAGAATTCCCCAGCCAGCACGGGAGTTGGAAGTCCACACATTTTAAAAAGTTGCCAAAAGCTCCTTAAAGCCCTCCTGTATTTCTCCCCCCCCCCCATCACGTCCGTTCTCCTGAGCCCTGTTCTTTTCGCAGACTGCCTTGTTCAGGGATCCCATTAATCTCAAACATGACACCATGCATGGTTCAACGGGGTAGATAAATAGGTCAAGGAAGAACCCAGGTAAACATCAAGTAATGCTGACTCCCTGTTATAAAATGCACCTTTGTGTCACACGGGGGGGTGTTTGGTTGCTGTGGGATTCTTTGAAGTCAAGTAGCTGCAACTGTCTGAGGTTGTGGGTTCGCATTCAGCGACCCTGATTCCCTCTCCTTTTCCCCTTGTGCGTTCAGCGTGGAAGACATCCTGTGCCTGGCAGACTCGGCGTCCATTTCAGAACTCACCCTAGATGGCAACCCCATAGCGCAGGAGGCATGGTACAAGCCGACCGTTCTCCACCATATGATGCAGCTCCGACAGCTGGATATGAAAAAAATCACAGTAAGGATCACGGGACACTTGGGAAGAGTTTCCAGCAGCCAAGCAGCCTTTTGAGGCCTCCGTTCAGCCTTCTTAGGGGATCCTCGTCCTCAGAAAGAAAACCGGGATAAACATTCTCTTGCTTCCCCGCTCCCCCCCCCCCCCAAATTTTTTTTTTCAATGCAGTCCTTAAAAAGCACTGATGATGTTACCCAGCTTGGTCATGAAACGTCTGCAAGAAAACCACCAAGCTCAGACAGCAACAAGGAAGCCACAAGTCTTAACTTAGCAGATTTACGTTGAATTTTAAATGAAACCAAACATTTTGACAGATGTGAAGGTTGTTCATCCTAAAAGGGGGGGTCCCCAACCTATGGGCCACGACCCACTAGTGGGCCATGAGGGGTTTGCAATTGGGTCATGAAAATGGCCGGCAAGTGCATATGTGCACACACTCATCCTCACGTGTGTGAGTAAAGGGAAAGCACATGCACACATGCTGTATCCTATCTATCTATGAACCATCTCCTCTGCCCTCCCAGTCTTGAAAGCTGAAAACATTGGGGAACTCAATGTTCCCCTAAACACACTCTCAAACAAATGAATGAAGAACATGGAATAATTGAGTTCAACCACCTTTGAATCTGGGGAGGCAAGGAAAGCCGTTGCTGACATTTAGGGCAGACAAAGGATTTTCTCTAAGGCCAGATAAAGTCACGATGAGACTGCAGCACGAGGCCTTGGGTTGGCTGCCACAGGCTGAGCTTTTAAGTAAGATGGTTTTAAAAATAATAATAATAATAAGATCTTTCATTTTTTAGTTCTGGCTCTTCTGGTATTCTGGCTATTAATTTCTACAGCATTTTTCAGAGCAAAGAACTTAGTACAGCTTTCCTCAATCTCCCACAACCCCGTGGGCTTCAACTCCCACAATTCCCCAGCCAGCTTGCCTAGATTTTATTTTTATTTTATTTTGAAACCCAAGGCGCCTCTGACTTGAAACTTCTTTTGAGTTTACCTGGAATTGAAAGATGTGGTGCACGATGCCCGTTAGGGGGCGCCCCTTACCCAATGGAAGAGTTGGTCCCTGCTTTAAGCTTAGGAGGATTTGAAGGGAGGGGGGGAGAGGAGGGTTTGGGAGTGAGGTGTCCCGGCCTTCAGTTTATAGATCCATACCCCAAAGATCGGAGGAAGGGC